GGTGATGCCCCGTCAAGCTGTGGGGCACAAGAGCCAATGCTGCTCTCGTGGGGTTCCCTCCTACACCTTTCTTCCATACTGCAGCCCCACCCCCTGAGAGTGTAAGAGTTTAGCCCCTCCCCTCACTTTTGGCCCATTTGCTTCTTTTCTCCCTGTGCATGAGCCACACCCAACCCCACCCTCTGGCTCACAGGCTGCCTCCTGAACACCAGCCACAATGGGCAATTGTAGGACTCTAAATGCATCCATCTTTTCCTTCTTGGGCCTGTAGGTTGCCATAGCTACCATGGATGCCATGTAACAATGAGATCACCAGAGCAATCCCAGGAGGAATGCCCACACCAAATCTGAGTCTGCAGCACTGATTTGGAGGGGAGGGCTGAGTTTTTGTCTAGCACTCATTGACCATTGAGCTTTGCAGGGGCTGGGATTAAGAAAAATAGAAACAAACTAGTGACATGAGCAGGATCCATCATCTTGTTTCATGAGAAGGGAGATACACACACACACACACACACACACCGTTGTCACCTTTTTTCAATTCTTAGTTGCCAGTGATGACTGATGGTGATGCTTTCCATTCAGTCATGTCCGATTCTCGGTGATTCTATGGACCAGCACTCTCCACATTTTGCGATCTTGTATGGCTTCTTTTAGTCATTTTGGTGTCAGCTTTGATGGTGTGTAGCAACCATGTTTTTGGGCAGCTTTGTTTCCTTTTACCACCGACCATTCCGAGCATAACTGCTTTTTCCAGTGAGTTTGATCACATGACATGGCTGAAATAAGTAAGCCAGAATTTTGTGATTTTGCCCTCCAGCGATATGTCTGGTTTTATACACTCCAGTACTTGCTTGTTCGTCATCTTTGCTGACCAAGGAATGGACAGGAGCCTTCTCCAACACCACAGCTCGAACAAGTCGATTTTCTTCTTGCAAAGTTTTTTCATTCTCCAACTTTTGCAACCATAGGTAGCTATGGGAAACACGATAGTGCAGACTAATCTGCATTTAGTTGCCAGGCTGATGTCCTTGCTTTTCCATACTTGCTTCATGCTCATCATTGCTGTGCAACCCAGTGCAATTTGACACTTTATTTCTGGACTGCATTCACTGCTTTGATCAATCTGTGATCCTAGGAAAGTGAATTCTTGCATGCATTCAATCTCTTCACCGTCAATAGTTATTCTGACATTTCCATTCCTTGCAGTGGTCATGAGCTTGGTCTTTTTGATGTTCAGGAAGAGGCCAAATTCTCGCTTTCTTCTTTAATCCTTTTGATCAGATGTTTCAGGCCTTCTTTGGTTTCTGAAAGGAGAGTTGTCTTGTCAGCATATCAAAGACTGTTGATGTTCCTTCCTCCAATCTTTACTCCAATTTTTGATTCTTCAAGTTCCAGCTTCCTCATGATCACTTCAACATACAGGTTGAATAAGAAAGAATGCAACCTTGCCGTACTCCTTTCTCTATCTTGAACGAATCAGTGACTCCATATGGTGTTTGCACAGTAGCTTCCTGATTTGTGTACAGTATATACAATGTACACTATGTACAGTGGCACCAACTTGACCAGATATGTTTGTACCCCTAGATCTTCTAGGGCTCTCCATAGCTTGTCATGATCAACAAAATCAAAGGCTTTCTTGTAGTCAATAAAGCAGATGTAGATGTTCTTTTGATATTCTTGAGATTTTTCCATGATCCAGTGTAGATTTCCAATATGGTCATGAGTTCCATGAGCCTTTCTGAAGCCAGCTTGAACATCCGGTAATTCCCTTTTGATGGTTGGTCCCAGACATTGTTGTATGTTGTTAAGGAGAATCTTGCTAGCATGAGGGATGAGGGCAATTGTGCAATAATTAGAGCAATCGAATTCCACTGGCAATGGAATGAACACTGATCATTTCCAATCCTGTGGCCATGTGTTCATTTCCCAAATTTTCTGGCACAGGCTGTGATGGTTGTGGGAGGTACAGGCCTCAGCAATTCTGCAGGGATGGTATCAACACCTGGGGCCTTGTTTGACAGTTGGCTCATTGCCCACACAACTTCTTCCTGAAGGATGCCTGGTTCTATTTCTGCTACCCTTTTCTCACATCCTGAGAAGGCTGGGCCTCTTTGTTGCTGGCATACAGCTCTTCTGCATATTCTCCCCACCTGTTCTTAACACCTTGTTGGTCAGACAGTTCTTTCCCTTGCTTGGTTTT